AGAAACTCTCAATGTCCAGATATGTGCTGCCAGTGGGTGGAATGTCTCACCTATTCTCAATTTAAGAGTAAGTCATTCATCCCTCCTAGCCTACTCTGTCATTCTCACTAACTGGGACAGTGCTGTCTTTCTCTGTACGCTCAATCTCATACATCCTATACTGCTACAGCCTTCCAGTCATTGCAAACCCGCTAACAGGAGGTACAGACGTCAAAAGAAAGACTTATAATGATGTTTGTATTGCAGGGAAAACAGGAACCATGTTGTGCACACCAAGCTCCTACAAACAACAAGATCACGATTATATAATCTGTTTTAAGTTTTTAAAACTTACTCAGTCGTGAGGTGTGGGCATTGCTGCCTTGGCCAGCATTTATTGCCCATCCCTAATAGGCTGTGGGTTTGGCTTAATGTAGGTTGAGGAATAAATATTTATTTTTCTATATGCCCTATTGTTTCTTTACTTCACAATTTCTTTCATAAATAATGTTTTGGAATCTTTGAAGTTCAGCTGCGGGGGCAGATAGGACCTCTGCTAAACATCTTATTTGAAAATTGCCATCTCCAATTGTGCACTATTCCAGCACTTTGTACAGTACAAAGAAAAACCTTTCTAAAATTATGTTTTGCAGCCCGACTGTGAATTATGAAGATGTTCATCACGTGTTTTATGTGTAGGTCGCTCCTAATCGAGCGAAGTCATAATATCCCATCGGGATTTCAATAAGAAAATATGTTGTGAAATCCAAAAAGTGTTCCAGGCACAACACGTAAGCAGTCACTATAGTTGCTTTCATTAGCTGAATTGAGTTGACTAGAATAGGAATGGGGGAAAGACCATTCAGCCCATCAAGCCTATTCAGCAGGGAAAATAAATTACAATCATTCCCACACACTTTACGGCTGAATCTTCCTGTGCCATACGCTTATACCCTCCTAACATATTACTGATTATTTTCAACAGCACGAGTAATATTATTGGCATCTAAATGTCAAAACACTTTTATGTATAAAGACCACAAGCCCTGCCAGAACTGAGGCATTTGAAATCATAGCTTCCTACTGTGTGCAAACAGGCCATTTGGTCCATCAAGCCACACTGACACTCCAAACAGCATCCCACCCAGTTCCACACCCACCCCCGTAACCCAGCATTTCCCATGGCTAACCTACCTAGCCTGCACATCCCTGGACACTATGGGCAATTTAGTACGGCCAATCCACCCTAACCTGCACATCTTTGGACTGTGGGAGGAAACCCACATGGAGAATGTGCAAACTCTGCACAGTCACCCAAGGCTGGAATTGAACCCAGGTCCATGGTGCTGTGATGTAGTAGTGCTAACCACTGAGCCACCATGCCGCCCATTTGCCTATTGTCTTTGAATACTATCAGCGCGGGAGCAACAAGGGATAGTATACAGTGCAGCATTGCTATTCTGGATAGACTTGCAGATTGGCTGAACTCTTATTCCCAGGTGAACTGTCAACAGCTGCTGACCTGCAGTGGACAACATCCAAAGATGGCAACAAACATGGTAAAGTCATAACAGTGAGTTTGCACTAATTTTGCTGACATTAATGTGTTTTGTGACTTTGCTGCCATCACATAAATCATGCAGAAGCACAGCTTTCATCTTTACTCATTCCAACTCACAAAATAAACCTGTCAACTACGGCTCTGTCAGTGATGCCCTAAGCTCTGGCACAAAGGTGTGATGAGGTTGTGCCTCTGTTTGAGGCCAACCCTCCCATCTCCAATACTGAGGGAGTACTGCATTTTCAGATGAGAAAGCAAAATAAGGCCCTGTCTTCCCTATGTGGTGGATGTGGAAGATCCCAATGCACTATATGAAGAACAGCAGATTAACCCCAGCGAGCTGATCAACAATTAACCCTCAACCAAAATCAACAAAACAGATTATCCAGCAATTATCACATTTTTTCTTTGTAGGAATTGGCTGTGTGCACATTGGCTACTGAGCCAATGGCATTACAACAGCAACTACTTGTCCTAAGTATCCAGTTGAGTATTTTAGGATCTCTAGAGATTGTGAAAGGTGCTATATAAATGCAAGTTTTTTTTAATGTCTGTCCCAATAAAATGGAGGTGTACAAAGTACCATGGAATGAGGTTTTAAAATACATATCTGTTCTATTAATAAATTTTCTGTATTTCATTTTCTTTTACTCTCCCTTCCTCAAGCACACTATGGTGAACAGTGATAATACTAGGGAATACCACATGTCCTTCATGAGAATCACCCAGGTCTGAACAAAGATAGAATAAAAGCTCAATAACATGCGCCAATCCCAACTGCAGCAACGCGCATTTCCCACACTGCCTAAGGGACTGAATGAGCAGTGAATTAAGCACATTAACTTCCACAGGCTACTGTCTTACATTCTTTTCTCAACAACCAGCAGATAATACACCTAAAGACTGACATCTGAAGTAATGATCCAAAAGGATATATTCTACCCCATTGTGCTTCACTTTCCCTAATTATTTTCTCTTCTCTCCTTTAATATTTTCTTTCCATCACCTATAAGGTCTGCTTAGTGTTTTTTTTTGCCAACGTGAGGGAATGTTGCTTTTGAGAAACAGAATCCTTTTGTACTGGGATTGCCTAATGTCAGCATCAGACATGCTGAGGACAGGTTGGGTGCCAACTAAATCTGGTCAGAAATATTCAGCCCCCTTGAGTTTCTTCCTCCATTCCATACATGTCATGGCTGATCTGTACCTTAACGCTATGTAACTGTCATGGTTTCATGTTCCCTCAAAAAAATTGTGGATGCTGGAAATCTGAAAACAAACACAGAGAATGCTGAAGAACCTCAGCAAGTGTGGCAGCATCTGCAGAAACAGAGTTAACGTTTTGATGCTAATATTATTCTCCTTCAAACTCAAAACATTAAATGTTTCTCTCTTCACACATGCTGTCAGGCCTGCCAGTGGCAGAAGGAGTTTAATTTGGATAAATGCGAGGTATTGCAATTTGGTAAAACAAACAAGGACAGGACTTATACGATTAAAAGTAGGGCCTTGGATAATATTGTAGAACAGAGAGACCTAGGGGTTCAAGTACATAATTCTTTGAAATTTGCATCACAGGTAGATTGGGTGGTTAAGAAGACAACACGTTGGCCTTCATTGCTCAGACCTTTGAGCATATGAGTTGGGATGTCATGTTGAAGTTGTACAGTATGTTGGTGCGGCCTCTTCTGCAGTACTGTGTCCGGTTCTGGTCATCCTGTTATGGGAAGGATACTATTAAACTGGAGAGGGTTCAGAAAAGATTTACCAGGATGTTGCCGGGAATGAAGGGCTTGAGTATTAAAGGCCAGGCTGAATAGGCTGGGACTTTTTTCATTGACGTTTGGGAGGTTAAGGGGTGGCCTTATAAAGGTTTATAAAATCATGAGGGGTACAGATCGGTAAATGGCAAGAGTCTTTTCACTAGGGTGGGGGATTTCAAGACTAGGCAGCATATTTTTAAGGTGAGAGGAGAAAGATTTAACAAAGACACGAGTGGCAATTTTTTTTTGTACACAGAGTGATGTTGTGTGGATTGAACATCCAGAGAAAGTGGTGGATGTGGATATGGTTACAATGTTTCAAAGACATTTGGATAAGTACATGGATAAGAAATATTTGTAGGGAAATGGGCCAAGCACAAGCAGGTGGGACTAGTTTAGTTTGGGATTATGGTCAGTGTAGAGTGGTTGGACCAAAGGGTCTGTTTCTGTGCTGCATGACTCTGGACCTGCTGAGTTTCTCCAGCATTTTCTGTGTTAATTCCATATCCCCTAAAACCTCAACTTTGGCATTTTCAACAGAAACAACTCCCATCCCCACAGCCTTAAAAGCTATTGGATGGGTGGCACTGGGGATGGGGTAAGGAAGAATTCTGGACAATCTGTTGGGCTTCAGCACCAAGTTGAGATCACCACCCTATCCTGTTCCTGTGTGAAAATTCTCTTCCCCAAAACAGCCATCCCATGGACATAACCAAACAAAGTTGTCAATTTGTCACTGAAGCAGTTCAGATTTGCACAAGGGGCCCATCTCAAAAACAATAGTCCTTTCTCCTTGCGGCCAGTGGAAGAAGGAAATTTTAATTTTGTGAAAACAGCTGAGTTCTGACCCCAGACACAAAACACCAATGTTTAAACTCAGGCACCTTCAATAACTCTGAATTGCTACTGTTTTGTAACTAAACCTATTGTAAAGGAATTAAAGCTACTTTAACAACAGCCCAGAAAGGAATTTGTTACAAGCACATTCAGAGCATGATTGTTCCTTTGAGCTTCTGAATCCTGCTGTCAGATTCAAATGTGAGTCAGAAAGCACACTGTGCAGGAAATGATCGTTCTGATTTTGCCTGGGATGGCCGATTAATAGTCAAAAGGCCAGCTCGCAGTCCACCCAAAGACCATAGGTGGACTCTCAAGGCTGGATGGTCATTCATTGGCCTTTCAGCTGGAAGGATACAATGAAAGGTGAGTAAGGAAGAAGCACTTCAAAATGGAAGCACCCACTCTCCAATCTCTTCGTCTAAATTAAAAATCATTTTTACAGCTGGAGCACCAGGTTTTGGTGGGTGGGGTTTGGGTGAAGGGGTATGGACATTCCTCTACTGGTTGTTGTTGGGTTGCTGTTGCACTGAGGAAAGCCCAGAGGTAGATTGGGTGGTTAAGAAGGCAGCATGCTTGCCTTCGTTGCTCAGACATTCGAGCATAGGCTTGTCTCAATCACCAGCCCAGCCTCAGCCTGTCTCCCGCTGAAAGACTGCCTCCAGGCAGCTGAGCTGACCCCCACCATCGACCTAAACTGGAGACCTGCTGGAAAATCCATCAGCCTCCTTTGATTTCCCTGGCAGCCATTAATAAGATGGGATTAGCTATCTGCTGCTTGCAGGCTGCAACCCTCAATCCTCCCTCCCCAAAAAATAGCTCTGAACAGAATGGAGCTGGGGAAGCTCGTGGCATTACTTTTAAGATGGTGACTAAAAATTAAGACCAAAGTTAGTTTTAATCCAACAGCAGTAGTTTTCAGACGTCGTCAAGCGCCAATGTGGAAACTGTGTGTACTAGGCAGGAAATCTGATTCCTTAGTAAATTTCATTCATACTGACGACATGTGTGCATCATTTAAGAAATTATGAAGAAAAGATTTTCCATTTAGGGCTCTTAACGCCAAGCATTTCAAGTCTGTCAGATGTTGAGGAAAGTGTACTCTACATTGATGTAACAACTCCAACTAGTTAGAATGTTGAACTTGGTACCACAATGGACTAGTTAAGGTGAAAAGCAAAAATGTATTTAAGTGCAAACTGGATCAGCATCTTAAGATGGAAAAGAACAGGACAGTTTGATAGGGTTGAACAAGATAAGGAGAGAGGAGTTTTGGAAAGAGCATAAACACCAGCACAGACTAGTTAGGCTTAATGGCCTTCTTCTATGCTGGAAACATGAAGTTATCCTAGGTAATTCATAATCATTCCACATTCTTAGACCACAAATGTTTTTTTTTTCAAATTGTCCAATTTAACATTAATCATTCTCCTCAAGTTATCTTAGTTGTGAGAAAAAGTTGAGAGAATAAATGATAGAGGATATAGAAATTCAAAAAATAATAGTGACATGAAGGTTAAAAAATAACAGAAAGGTGAAAAGGAGGTTCATAGAGAAAATGAAAAAGTAGGGGGAAATTTCAAAATGATGGGAAAAGACATAGGAAAATAAAGATTCATTAATATCTAAGATAGAGCACATAAATAAGGGACATGAGTGGAGGAAGGAAATAATTTGCAGGTGAGTTGGAGGAGTCACTTAGCGACCAGAGCAATTCAATTCCCAAGAACAAAGGATTACGGTGGAGATTAGCGGGACAGAAAGAAGATATACAGTGGAATGTTGAATTTACATTGTAAAATGCAACACGCAAGCAAATACTCCAAACATCTGTGAAATGCAAGTGAACAAAACATCATGACTGAAAACAGCAGGCGATATCATCATGAGGAAAAAAGCAAGTGGTTTCTCAGTTTCTCCCATTTTTCATTGCAGTGTAGGAGCTCAGTTGTGACAACAAACTCCAGAAGTTTCTGTCTTGTGAAAGATCTTGTGTTCGTTTTGTCCAAGACGAAATCAGATCAACTGGAGATCAGGGAATAACTATCGAACTTCTAATGTTTGTAACTCTGAAGTTCACACAGGCTTCAGGGCAGAGTTCACTTCTACTCATTGCATTTAGAGAAGAAGTGTTCATAACAATTAAAATTAATATAAAGCACATTAAACTCTTGTGGATCTAATTTGGAGGTTGGATATAAATCACCACAATTAGTCTTGTATATGATTTTGCTTCGATTCAAATTATAATCAACATGATTATGATCATAGGGAAACACTAGAACTGTGAAAGGATTTATTCCCATCAACAGATACCATTGCAATTTAAAAGTCAGTGTCATACAACGGCAAGATTTTAAAAAGTTTTAATGACATTTCCCCATCCAGTGAGCCTTATTCCCGGAATCACTTTTCAGCCGCCAATGCTCCTTCCCATATTCCATTCTCACCCAACTCCATTATGACTATCTACACCCCATATCCCACTCCAAAGTCCCAATGCCCCAGATACTTTACAACTGTTGAGTGTCTCCAGCCCTCATCCTATTGCCCCAGCTCCCATCCCGTTGACTTCACTCCTTGCCTCCAGCTCCTGCTTTAGTTTCTATTTCATTGCTCTGCGGTCCTGCCCTACTTTGAACCTCTTTGCCCCCCTTGTTCCTGGCCGACTCAGCCAAGCCCACCCTCCCGCCCCCAATGTTGTTACCCTATCGCCCCCCACCCCTTTACCTGGATGTGGCAGCCCCCTGAAGTGAGCAGCCACTGCAAACAGACCGAATGCCCGGTGGCCGCTGCATCGTGCGCCGGAGTAGCCCCATTCTTGGCTCGCTTATTCCCGGGTAGTTTCGCCTCTTCCACCAGGAATTTCAGGGCGCTTAGTTTGCCGGAGCGAGCGGCGTGATGGACTGGAGACGCTCCGAGATGGTCGGTTATCTTCTGCTGGATCAAGCCCTGTTTCTGTAAATCCTGCAGCGTTAGCAGGTCCCCGTTCTTTGCTGCAACCAGCGAGCGATCCAAAACCATTTTGAGGTTTTCTTCCTCAAATCACTAATTCCCAGATTGTCTTGACCTCTTTCACTTTCTTTGGCGTGGCCATTTTACACTTGCGTCTGCTCCTTTTGTAAATCCCACTGGGCTGAACCATCCTGAATATTTAATGACAAGAGATTTGAATAATCCATAAGAGAGAGAGAGAGAGGCGGCACCAGGTCAGTCAAAGATCTGGGAAACAGGAAGGACTACTCTCATTGGAAACTGCCTGGAATTAACTGTGAGAGTCTAAACAGGAGCCTGTTACACAAGAGGCAAGGTTCTGAATGGGATTCACAGTTCAATTTTGTTCCATTGAATTGCCCTTTGCCAATAGATTATGTTAAACAACCCAAACAATAACAAAAAAAAAACAATGCAAAGATCTGCGGATGCTGGAAATCCAAAACAAGAACAAAAATTGCCGGAGAAATTTAGCAGGTCTGGCAGCATCTATGGAGAGAAATCAGAGTAAACGTTTCGGATCTGGTGACCCTTCCTCAGAACTGATTTTAGCGAGGAAAAGGTTTGGTGTATATGCTGAAGATGGGGAGGGTGGAGATGGAGCCCAGAGAGGTAGAACAACACTTGGGCAGACAAAGGAATGGATAGAGGTCAGCCTGGGAGAACCAATAGCTGCTCATGTGGACCATTAGTGGCTGATAATGGGTTGGTTTTGGTAACAGCCCAGGTGAAGTCAAGGCGTGGGGTGTAGGGGTTGGGAGAACCCCACACTCAGAACTCTTTTGGACTGGACATGTTAACTCTGCTTTCTCTCTGCAGATGCTGCCAGACCCACTGAATTTCTCCAGCAATTTCTGTTTTTGTTTTTAAACAACCTGTTCAGAAATCTACATAGCTCTAGGGGGACTCGGACTTGTGCCTCCCGGCTCAGAGGCAAGGACACTACCACTTCACCACAAAAGCACACCATCCCCGTACCTACTCTCTCCACCACCCAATCCTGGTGCAGTGTTCACTCTGAATTGAACAGCAACAGATGGTTCAGTTGAGCTGAAAGAATTGCATTCATCCAGCTTAATGGTACTTTGATCATCTCTGGTAGGTACTGATGGTTCTGAATATCTCAAGAAAATAAACTATACAACCAACAAGAGTGTTTCTAACCCACAAATTTTAAAATACATGTCCTACCATTCAAATCTGCCCAACACCTTGCCCCACCCACCAATCCACAATGCCCTGGTCTATCCCAGTGACCTCCAGTTTAACTGTCCCCTTTATCCTCCTCCCCACTGCCCTCCCCGCAAATTCTTCATTTCTCCAACTCTGAATCTCTGTGTATTCCCTCATCGTTGGTGGCCAAGTTGTTCAGGTACCAACTCTGAAATTCCTTCCTAAATCCTCTCCATCTCTCTCCTCTCTTTACAGGCCCTTCCTAAATCTTGCCTCTTTGATCAAGCTCCTTAGTCATCTGCCTCCATATCTTGGCCATGGACTCAGTTTTAGTTTTTGTCTGTTTACTTCACTGTGAAGAGCATTTTAGTCCCTTAGTATGTATATTGTAACGTTTGCCAATGTCACGACAAAGACCAGCTACTGCCACCTCCATGACATGATCAAGCTTCATTTACTTATCAGCTCACCCTCTGTTGAAATCCCCATTCATATGAAACAAATGGAGGAGGAGGCCATTCGGCCCATCAAGACTGCTCTGCACTCAATTAGATCATGGCTAATCCTCTACCTCAATGTCATTTTTAACTTTACTTGCAAACCCCTTGACATTTTAGATATTTAGGAATCTATCAATCTCTGCCTTGAGTGGCCATGTATCCACAGCCTTCTGGAGTAGAGAATTTAAAGATTCACCGCGTCCTAAGTGAAGAAATCCTACCACTTTGCCCTAAAGGGTCTTTTCCCTTCTTCTGAGATGGTGTCCTCTGTTTCTAGAACCCTCTCCAGCCAAGTGAAATATCCTTCCTACATTCACCCTTTCGAATCCTTGTAGGAATTCTGGATGCTTTAATTAGATCACTTCTCATTCTTTGACACTCTAGAGAATATAGACTTACAGAATGTATTCTTGTCAATCTCCCCTCATAGGACAATCCTGTAATCTTGTAAACCTTTGCTATACTCCCGCTGTGGCAAGTATATCTTTCCTGAAGTAAGGGGACCAAAACTGTACACAATACACCCGCTATAACACAGTGTGGAGCTGGAGGAGCACAGCAGGCCAGGCAGCATCAGAGGAGCAGGAAAGTTGATGTTTCGGGTCGGGACCCGTCTTCAAAAGGATAATTTCTGAAGAAGGGTCCCTACCCAAAACGTCAACTTTCCTGCTGCTCTGATGCTGCCTGACCTGCTGTGCTCCCCCAGCTCCACACTGTGTTATCTCTGACTCCAGCATCGGCAGTTCTTACTACCTCACAATACACCAGGTGGAGTCTTACTATGGCTCTATGCAATTGCAGAAAGGCATTTGTACTCCTGTATTCAAATTTTCTCTTAACAACAGCCAATATAACATTTGCCTTCCTACATGCTTGCTGCAGCTGCATATTAGCTTTCAGTGGCTTAGAATCAAGGGCATTCAAGTTTCTTTACATATCAACATTCCCATTTCTCACTACTTAAGAAATACTCTGCATTTGTTTATCCTGTCAAAGTGGATACCTACATTTTTTCCACATTATGTTCCATCTGCCATGTTCTTCACCATTCACTTTGCCTGTCTAAATTCCTCGAAGCCTTTTCGCATCCTCCTCACAACTCACATCCCCTCATTGTTTTGTGTCCTTAGTGTAGTTGGAAATATTACATTTGGCCTTACATCCAAAACGTTCATGCCTTCATTACCTCTAGATTATTCCAATGCACTTCCAGATGGTCTCCCAGATTCTACCCTCCATGAACCTGAGGTCAACCCAAAACTCTGCTGACCACATCTTAAATATCAACAGGGCGGCACGGTGGCTCAGTGGTTTGCACTGCTGCCTCACAGCTCCAGTGACCCAGATTCAATTCCAACCTTGGGTGACTGTGTAGAGTTTGCACATTCTTCCCGTGTTTGGGTGGGTTCGCTCCAGATGCTCCAGTTTCCTCCCACAGTCCAAAGATGTGCAGGCTAGGTGGATTGGCCATGCTAAAATTGCCCATAGTGTTCAGGGATGGGTGGGTTATAGGGGGATGGATCAGTGTGGACTTGTTGGGCAGAAGGGCCTGTTTCCACACTGTAGGGAATCTGTATAAAAAAAAAAGTCCCATCCACTTATCACCTTGTGCACATCAACTTATTTAGGCTACCAGTCAAGTAACACACTGGAATATCCTATTTACACCTCTCTAACTCCACCTCACTCTCCTCCTTTAAAACACTTCTTAAAATTTATATCTTTAACTAAGTTTGTGGTCATCTGTCTTAAAAGTTTTTCATTTAGTTCAGTTTCTTATTTTCTTTTATTTTGCGCCTGTGAATCTCCTGTGGACATTTTATAACACAAAAGGTGTTAAATGAATGTCAATTGTTTCAGTTGGATAATAACTGCTTTTAAGAAAAAGGACATTTTCTGACGAAAAAGACAGCAATCTAGCAGAATCCCACTTTCCAGTTCTTGGACAATAGTCTTGTCAGCTTTGGCACTTCAAGTGTATATCCAAGTAGTTTTAAAATACTGTCACTCATACTGAAATTTGCAAGGCAGTGATATTTTGAAAAGTACCTTTAACGCAAGTAAAACAGAGAATTGATAATAAACATCTTCTCTCAGTGAAATTCTGTTGTGATCCAGTCACCATTAGTAGAGAAATTCACACAGAAACTCACTGAATTGGTGGAAAGCAATTTTAACATGTTTTCACAGAAATAGTACAACCGCATTTTGAAACAAAGAAGCCACTGCTTGCAACCAGTCCCAATGTAGGTGGGATTCAGTTCCTGTGCAAAGAAAAAGGGAACTGAATAAACAGGACTCTCCAAGGTTTGAGAAATAGAGATTTGTCAAGGTGTGACTTGCTGGTAGTAATGATATCCATGGAAAGCAAGCTGAGTGGATGATTGTTAGAAGTTTCTGCCTGCTGTGATGGAGACACAAGAAACTACCAAAAGGCTAGGAGGAACTCTGGACCACTCCTAACAAGCTACAGATCTGCTAGAAGTGCAGTACACAGTATAAAGATTTCATAAGACATGTTCTAAATATGTTAGGTAGTCAAAGCAAAATTTACCTATCTTGTTAGCACGATGTATTAGATACCTTTTAATTAGTGTCGATCTATGTTGCTTTTAATTTGTTTGTTACAGTAAAATCTTATAGGCAAACTTTGTCCTTTGATTCTTTCTTTTGGTGGCTGTGTCACATCTCTTTTTAAAAGTTACTCCTCTCTATGGGCATTGCAATACAACAGCAAGGGTCTCTGTCTCTCCCGTTCCTTGGAGTAGTGAATTCCCAAACACTACCACCCTCCTTAAATTCACACTAATCCTTCTGCCTATGATTTTAAATTCATCCTTCCTGGTTTTGACTTCTCTGCTAAAGGAAATAGGTGCTCCTACCTACTACATAGACTCTCATGATTTAATACATCTTAATTTTTTTTATTCATTTATAGGATATGGGCATCACTAGCTAGGCCAGCTTTTATTGCGAATTTGTTATTGCTTGGAAGGCAGTTAAGAGTCAACCACATTGCTGTGGGTCTGGAGTTACATGTAGACCAGACCAGGTTGGCACATTTCCTTCCCCAAAGGACATTGGTGAACAAGTGGACTTTATCCAAGAGAAAACAACCCCAGCCTCTCCAATCTTTCCTCACTGCTAAAATTGCAAATTTCTGAAGACATCTTCATGAAGAAAGCAAATGTTAAGTTGACCTTCATAATAAGAGGAATCACGTATAGGAATAGGGATGTCTTCCTGCAATTGTACAGGGCCTTGGTGAAACCACACCTGGAGTATTGTATGCAGTTTTGTTCTTGTTTTCTGCAGATGGATGTTCTGACTATGGAGGAAGTGCAACAAAGGTTTACCAGACTGATTCCTGGAATGACAGTGCTGATATCTGGGGAGAAACTGGAATGGTTAAGAGTATATTTACTGGAGTTTAGAAAAATCAGGGGGAGTCTCTTAGAAACCTATAAAATTCTAACAGGACTAGTAAGGGTAAATGCAAGAACGATGACTGGGGAGTCCAGA